TATATATATACAGGTGTCGAGGTGACGATTTATTCGAACGAGTTGGCGGGTTCGCCCGAAAGCGAGGGAACAAGGTTTGCCATACCTACTTGGCCGCCGCTGATGCTGTAATGCTGATTTTTCGCGATGATGAGGAAACTGAAAGTCACCAAGGCGGTAAAGAGGAAGCAAAAAACGTCGAGGGCGAACCCGAAAGCTGTGCTTGCCGCGATGAATATGTACCAGGACGACGTGTGAATGTCTTGAAATTTGTCGAATTCTTTTATAAGCACGTCCTGCGCGTGGAAGGCCCTCACGGTTGACAGGCCGTTCAAGGTTGTGTTCAAATGCGTGAAGACCGGAGATCGGGCTGCCGAAAATCACGCGAAGATTATTGCAATTTTTTCAAGTAAACAAAATGAAGCGCGTGTCAAAAGCAATAAAGTACCAACATACTCATTCCTTCGAGTCGCTTGACGTTTTTGCTGGTCTTCAAATAAACCTTTTTTATCCAATAAAATATGACCATTGTGAAGAAGATCGGCACGAGGAAGATCGGGTTGACAGTGCACGAAACGACCAACGAACCAATCATAGACAGGATAATCTGACCGGCATCGAGCAGGGCCTTGGGCAATAGTTCGTCGATTGCGCCCATGTCCTTGGAAAATCTGTTTAAAATCCTGCCACTCGGGTTCGTGTCGAAGAACCGCATGGACGTGCGTATAAGCCCGCCAAACATGAGGTCGTGCAAGCGTTGACTGCAGCGCACGCAGATCTCGTAAAGGACGAAAGAACGTATGATACCGACCACGAAGATCAGCACGACGATGACCGAGTAAATGTAAACGTAAGTGTCCCTCGGGAGAATATCTTCTTCTTTGAGAATAGCCGTCATTGACGCAGTTATGTTATACATTGACGTGCTGTTCATCTCACTTTTGTTCAAATGGTCGTAAAAGTACCGCGACTCTTCCACCGTTACTCTGTAATGTCAAACGTAAGTGTTTCGAGCTTATACATTTTCAACCAAACTTGATATGTATGTTTGATGCGTACATTACGGGAATAAACATGTCGTTGAGACTCACTATAATCTGAGTAAGTACACCCAATAGCAGTACTGCTACTCCGGCGAAGAAGCTTGAGCCCACTTTGTAGTATTTCAGTAGAATATTTTCTTTCACGGTACCACGAGACGTCCCTTCAATAAATCCTTGGCTGTGTTCGACATTGTTCTCGTTTTCTTCTTCCCCGTCTGTTTCTCCTCCGATTTCGGTTGTTCTGCTCTGAAAATACAAGAACACTCAATCATCTTTTTGTTGGAAAAAAAATCAGAAAAAAATATTTAAGTGCATTCATGAGTTTTACTCGAGTGCTCGATGAAGAAAATTGACGTCTCATGTAAGACTCGTCGAAAGACGAATCGTCGGACTCTGCTGGTTTTTCTTCGGACACTAATTTGTCGTATTGAGGATACGTTCGCAAAAGTTCCCGATAATCGCTGAATTGTTTTAATTTATTCTGATCAACCAGAATAACGGAATCGGCGTGTTTGATGTATTGGAGCTGATGAGTCGCCAATATACGAGTCGTACCACTCAAGTACTTTTGGAGACATTCGTCAAACAAATGCTTACTAACGTGAGCGTCAACCTGAAAATTGATAATTACAATGAAGCATGTTTTAGATACAGGTTGAACCTTGGATAAAATTATCGGAATACTTTATCCTCACCGCACTCAAAGGATCGTCCAGTAAGTATATGTTGGCTTGTCTGTAGACTGCCCTCGCCAAATTGATCCTGGCTTTTTGACCACCAGACAACGAACTTCCCCTTTCCCCCACGATGGTCTGATCGCCATGCGGGAACTGCTTGAAATCCTTGAGCAGAGCGCAAGCCTTTACCACCTTCTGATACCTTTGCCGGTCGAATTCGAGACCGAACAGGATATTTTGCCGGACGCTAGATCCGAACACCCACGATTCTTGTCCTGCGTAGCTGATGCTGCCTTTAACCTTGACATTGCCCTGCAGCACATTGATTTCTCCCAGGATCGTTGATAGCAGTGTACTTTTGCCGGTTGCAACCATACCGATCACCACATACAGTTTGCCCTTTTCAATGTTCAAACTGACGTTCTCCAATGTCGGGGCCTCCGATGCATGCAGGTCCCACTTGACTGTCACGTGGTTAAGATTCACAGCCCACATATCATCATCATCATCCTCCATACTCTTAACGTGATTACCGATATGATGCTTCTTGTCGATCTCGGACGAATTTTCCTTCAACACGTCACTCGACAACACGAAGATCTGTTTATTTCTGTCGGACATTCGCTCGTCGTAATGAACATCCTCGTCTATGTACGGGAAATCCTGGTCCTTCTTCTTCAAACCACAGCCGAGCGTTCCGTTGGCCTCGCTCGTCACGTTCCCCGGCTGAAATTCCTCGTAAGTCAAGAAGGTCTGCAGCCTCCTGACAACGACGATGCACTCGGCGATCTCGGCAAAGCCCCGCACAAACATGCCGGACATCGTGCTAGCCAGTATATTGAAGTACGCCGAGAAGACGAACACGTTGTCGGCAGTGAGTCGCTCCTGTCCCAGGAGCATAGCCAGGATCGTGCAGTAGAGAGCCATGCGCGTGGTGAATAGGTTGAACGTCATGTATATGCCCCGTATGTACGCGCTCTTTTTCACAACTTTGAGCTCGAGTTGGCGAGCCAGCTCGATCAGGGAGCAAAAGGGCTTCTCCCACGCGTACATTTTTATCACTTGGACCCCCGAGATTATTTCGTCCATCAGACGAACTCGCTCGTCCGTTTTTATGGCCGTTTGCAGTCGGAACTTGGATGACAGTTTGCCAGTGAAAGCTGAAAGGCGGGAACAACGAATTTCACTCGACTTCGTAACGAACCTTGACAAAATACAATTTACTCACATTGAATGGGCACAACAGTGAGGACAGCGATAATTCCAAAGAGACCGGCGTAGCCTACTTGGGTGTACATGAAGTACCCGATTATTATACCCTGCAGCGGTGCGGTCCACATGTGGTGTATGAAAACCATGATTAGATCGAATCTGTTGACGTCGTTGGCTACTAAATTGACTACTTTTCCCGGCGCTGTTTCACCCAATGCAGTCATGCTTAACCGCAAGGCCTGTTTTGGAAAAAAGATCACCGAATTCGTCCACAAAACGTTAAAAAAAAAAAAAAAAAGTTCGCACCGAGGCATAAATTTATGCTTACCTTTCTGTAAACGACCGAGCAAACGGCTATTCTGATCTTTCCACCCACGTGAAAGGCAGTGAAAATAATTTGGTTGATGATAACCGCGCTGAAGGCAGTGGTGGCCGCGATGCCGGCCGCATAGATCAACGCTGACTCGTACGTGGTCAATGGTTTGGGGTTGAAGTACTTCAACAGTCCTCCCAAGAGGATCGGGGTGCCCAGTCTGTTGTGGGAAGTAATGCGGTGAATGTTTATTTTTTGGTGCTGCACAACGTGTATTCATTTTCCAACCTTATGAAGAATTCGTTGATTACTTGAATGCAGCCTAGGTACAAATATTCGGGTAGGAATGTCCGAAAAATCGCTCTCAATAGGCTCGGGCGACGCTTGCTTCTTTTTGCGTTTTCTAACTCTGTGTTCCATCGTCTGAAAATAATTGCATTATAAACGACTGCTACTGTTTTATCAACTTTGTAAGGGGCACAAGCCAAAGTAACAAAGTAAAATACACACCTTTCCAATCGATCTCCCAAAACGTTGGATTTATCCGACTTGAGGGGCTCGTACAGATCCTCTAATCCTAAAACTTTTTTGTATCCTTTTTTGAAGATATCCTTGGTCCACCTGCGATTTGTTTTCAGATTAATATTCGGCTGATGATTAATGCGTGCATTTGTTGATTTTTATTTTCACTGCACGATAATGTAGTCTTACCACCATAGTAAAATTGAAAGTGTACTTGCAGTCGCTCGGGGATTAGAATTTTTGAAGAACTTTGAGTTACCATCCATGGCCGAAGCGTTTCACAGAACTTCATTGATTTCAATTTTAATTGTCTTTGAAGCTTAGCACCATCTTTTTTGGCGTTATCTCCTTAGTTTAAATAATTTTTTTTTTTCTAATAGTAATATGCATATCATTAAATGTTATAAAAAAAATTCTCGTCGAAAAATACGATAAATCACTATATAATTATGTAGTATCACAAATATCCTTGAATCTTTCAAATTAACTCAAAAATACAAGCAGTTTTGGATATTCTTGCAGATGAATGTCTATTTTGAGACTGCAAATTCACTCGCAAGAACTTAACGGACTTTATGTAGCACAATACATTCTAAAAATCAACTAGTTTTTTTTTTCTTTGCATCGGTTGTGACTCTTTGTTTGTCGACCTTGGCAATCAGCCAAAAGCAATGACTTTACGTAAGCTCAGGATTTTTGTATCTGCAAGAAAGAAAATCTGATAAATTAAGTTTGTCAAGTACAAAAGTACCATAATCGAACAGTGTCCTAAATGAAAAGTGTTAGAGGTACAGAGATATAATGCATCGGTAATTTATACGAGTCATCCATCAATAAAATGCTTCAACTTTGTCGAAAATGCCTGAACTACAAATGTCATAATCAATTACGGACATCAATATTTTGGATATTTTAATAAATTACTATTTAATGTATCATCGTATTATCAAAATATTTTTCACCCATTAATATTACGTAAACATAAAAATAACTTATAAAAACTGTGAGCTATGTCTTGTATACGTATTGCATAACAAGGTATCTACTTACTAATAAACATACACAAGTTATACTTTATTATCTAATTACTGATTAGATAATTATTTTCGCAATTAATTTTAATAAATAATTACATATGATTTTTATGAAACCCGTTGAAACAACATTAATTTGTCCTCAGTTTCCATCCTACTAGTGCAGCAATATAGCTATTTAATAGTGTATGCTCGTCGCGGCGCGCTTAATCACTGTATGATAGTAAGAAGTAATCTTGAAGTAATTTATACGAGGAAGAGCTTGAGGAACAACGAGCTTCTTCTATTTGGAGAAAGATTTAGTGAGAAGTAAAAAAAAAATAAAAAAAAAATGTAGAGCTCGACGAGACTATTGTACACAAGATATTATATATTAAACAGTACCGCAGCGAACCGAACGGATAATGGTAATCAAGGAAGAAGTAGCCATTGAACAAATCTTTTGGCAATTCGTTTGATCCTAACAGTTGTATCGAATATACGACAGAGATACCCTGTACAAACGATTGCATGCCTTCTTTTGGTACGTGGTGCTTCTGATTATAACAGCTGTATGAAATATATTTGACGGAGATAACTTACACAAACGATTGCGTGCCTTCCGATTTCGGAATGTAGTTGATGGCGGATGTGTCAAAATAAACGACTTACGTGCCCACACACGTGTTTGCCCAAAAGATAACACAAAACTTTGCTGCGTGACCTTGAAACGTCCTAAAATCATTTCGAAAATGTTGTTGATTCTGTGCGTCGCTGGTGCACTGATTTGCACGCAAATCTATTATATACTGAGAGAAAAAAATGATAATTCCAGTAAAAATTATTATTCGGTACAGTAAACCGGACGCAAGTGGGCAAAAAAGGAAAAAATTGTTATTTCTAACAATAAACATTATTGTTTTAACAGTTAAAATTATGGTTCAAAAAGTAAAAATTATGGTTAGAAGACAAAAATTTTGATGTGAGAAATTAAAATTTATTAACCGATCCTTTTATGGTTTACTGTTCCAGTATGATAATTTTTACTGTCCCAATGATAATTCTAGCTATTTAAACTATACTTTTTACTATTAAAACGTTAAATTCTACTGTTAAAAATAATAATTTTTTTCCTTTTTTGCCAACTTGCACCTGATTTACTGTGCGGAATGGTAATTTTTACTGGAATTTTTCTATTATTTTTTTTATTTTTTTCTCTCAGTGTACTAAAATGTTGTGTCGATGAATTATTTATAAAACTCTGATGGATGTAATTATTATTATTATCATCATTTTTTTTTTATGGGTAACGTAAAGAGAACATTTTTTTACGTAAACATGACTGAAGGAGTGATTACGTGGTAATCCTGCATATTGTGATGTACCGTTCACTTCGTAAACTTTGTTGATCAAGAAGATTTTCCAACATAGGTTATTCGTTTCAAATTACTTAATCCATGACCTTTGTTTTACAACACGACGAGTAATCATAAAAACGCGCCAATTCATGGAACATGATGACATAATTAAGTAGGACAGCGAAAATGGAAATCACGAATGCTTACAGAAGGTGATAACCCAAGTCGTGAAAACAACTGGAATAAATCAGCTTCTCGAGGCTTTACAACTCAAGATAAAAATCCATCAGTAAAAAGCGCCAGTCTTTTTTTTAGCCAAGCTTTTTAAAAGGTTTGAATTTCAATTTGTCGTTAAACGCATTTAAAACAAACATTCGTGACTCATGTGTTGTCTGCGAGATTGGATACGAAAAATAAAACCGACAGAAAAAACTTGAAATGACAATTCGACTAGTGCAGTGTAAGTATACTAAATATTTCTCGGTCAGTTGTTAATATAACAGACGTTTCTACCGTATACTTAAAACATTTGTATATTCCGAAAGTAGTTACTATTCAAAGGTCCTTGTAAAATATGAGTAATATTTAAAATTAAAAAAACAAAAATTGTCGCATTTTGTTTTGATAATTTATAAAAATGAAATAATACTTCAACTAATAATCTTTTATCAGATAAAAATTATCATGATTTTTAGAAGAAAATGTTTCATCATCTATTGATGAAGTGATTAAATGTCAAGTCGGGCGTGGACAATTGATTGAACCGCTACTCCCATACAAGGCATTCCTCAATTTAAAAACTTTTTAATAATTAGGTATGGGGNACTTCCATATTCAGGGTACGCCTTCAGTAGTTTATGATAATTCTTAAAATATTTTATTTTTCCTTCCTCCAAAACAATGACGTCAATACTGATGACGTCGACATCAATGATCGAGTCGGCAATAGAACTCAATGTCCTTTGTATTAAAAATCTGCCGCTAAAAATGATTGAAGGCTACCGCGTCAAATTTCTCTAGCATTGTTTCGCGTGGTAAAGATGAACGTTTGGGTACATGGTTGATTAAAGTCTCAAGTCACGAGAGTCTGAGCGCTGATTCATCAACATTTAAACGGATCTATTTACCCCAGCAATTTTAGCACGAGCAAGTAGGCAATGTTGCTTCAGCTGCGCCTTCGTCATCTGCACGGATCACTGGTGCTCAATATCGTGACTGCCAATTCACTTAGTGAGTATCTGCCTGCGTTAATGCATGCGTTTATTTGTGAAGAGCAAAGTAATTAAACTCGCAATCGAACTGAAAGAGCACTCGTTTTTTCGTTTCCGTACAACAATACTGTTTCTCGGAACACAAGTACACTAACAATACTCGCAATTAGAAATAATTGACGTGCATGTACAACGGATGTAAATGATAATTCAAGACTTCTTCGACCAGATAACACTTTTTGCTCTAAGTAGGTCTGATGGTATACTTGGATTCATCGTACTTGCATACCAAATTATTGTTGTTAACAGTAGAAGAGACAGCAATCGATGGATGCTATCAAACATTGTGGCGAGTAAAAACTGGCTTGTTATTTGGCACGCTTGCTTGTATGAAGTAAAAACTACACACAATTTTCAATTGCTTTAACTCGTAAGTTCCCAAAGTAGCAAATGTTTGAGGAATTTTCGAAAAAATAAGCCTTTATCGAGTTTTGTACGAAAACCAGTTTTTCGTCTTTGCGAATGCACATTATACTGTATTGTACGTATACAACTTCCACCATTTATGTAAATATATTTTTTTATGATAAATTATAATTTAAACCACATATCTTACAGGTTTTTTCAAAATTATGAAAAAAAATTTATTCCACGTATAACTTTATCTCATTGTTTGAATCGGGTAGTTTTTTTCTACATTTCCTTTTTAAAAAAATGAAAAAGTCAAACGCTACTCTAGTTGATTCTTCTTTTGTAACGTTATTTATTTCCAATTATTGTTCCAAATTACGCAATTAATAAAAAAACTTCGGTCACGTAACAACAAAACTATTAGAAAAGAAATAAGAAATATTTTTATACTTTTCAAAAAATTTAAAATTTTTTGTTTCGACTAAAAGTAGTCAAGTTTATCAAGTCACATGTGTCTAAATGATGAAAAATAAAAATTGCTTGAAGAGTAATTTATTTTACAGTGTACTTCTTGAATTCATCATCGTTAAAAATGTACTTTTTTGTATCTTAGTGACTCTTTACTAGCAAGTTGGTAAGGATGTTGTGAGCTGTTATTAAAATTAAAAAAACTGACTTTTAATTCAAGTCTGAAAAAGTTAAAAATCAACAAAAAAATAATAATAATGATAAAAAAACTATGAAACCTTGACAAGTGTAATTATTTATCTACGCTGTCTCTTTAAGACAATTAAGTGTCATTAACACACACGAATTTCGTAAAAATCATTTTCTCCACAGTAAAATACTTAAAAACAAGCACATGTACAGGCACATATTCAAACCCGGAAAACTCACCCACCCATGAAAACAGAGCACAAGCCGACTTCCCGCGGTATACTGTGAGAACATTTCGGAGTCGAGGGGTACACAAACATGATGACTGTACATAAGCCTGTAAATCTGTTTCAATTGTATACAGTAATTATCCGAGTTAGTCCTGGATAATGTACTTTAAGACGCAATGAGAAAAAACCAGCACCAAGGGAAAAACATAAAAACTATCATTATTGTAAAAAAAAAATAAATAAATAAATAAAAAAACAAAACAAAATAAAATCTGCGTATAGAATGAACAATCTCAACTGCCTTGTTGTTCTGTTATTTCAACAATATATTCACACTGGCCATCACAAATTAGTATCATATTTAAAAAAAAAAATTAATTATCGCAATAATATCATTGACTGTTTAAAAAAAAAATTGTTTAAATAACTAACCTACACTAGATACCTGCTCCGAAATGCTGACGGTGCAACTCCAAAAATAAGTATCACAATTATTACTCAGACTATATACATTAGAATTATAAAGCCGACACTTTGCGAACCAGCGCGAAATGCTCAAACATTTAGAATAAAAAGTCTGCCTGGAAAAAATTAACTGTTAAAAAACCATACATAGTTTTCCATTACATTGAAGAAAATTACACGTAGGTTAGAGAGAAGCCGACCATCGCGGAGTCATAGTAGCACGCGTGCACTCGAGCTCACGCTGAAGGCAACTAAACAGACGATCTCCGTTTATTTTTCTTCTTCCTCTCTTTTCTCTACTTTAGCCTCTTCTCTGTGTTCTCGTTTGGCGTTGCCTCATGGCGTCTGATCAAGGAGCATCTAAAAAGACTCAGGGTCATAACATCATATAGACACACAACCGTAAGTACCACCCGTTGCAGTAGTACTCTTTATTAACTTCCATTAACTTTTTAATTGTTTATTTATTTATTTTTTTTTTTTTTTTACGAATTGGTGTTTCCGGTACTCACTTCATCTGAGTGTATTCCTTGTAAAAAAAATCCACTTCTTCACTGAAAAATAAAGTTTTCGTTTTTAACATTAAAAGAAAAAAAATTCTCAAACCCAAGAAAATATTTCCATTCTTATGCCAAGACAATTTTCTTCTTTAAAATGAATATTTTCTTGAAGTAAGAAAATTTAATCATTTTTCAAGAGATTACCTACTTGGAACTATTCTAGTAAATATTTTTTTGAACCTAAGAATTTTTCACTAAGTAAAAATAAGAAAAGAGACAACTACAAAACTGTAAAAGTATCGTTGTTGTAAAAATGGAGTATGCAAGATATTTTTCATCTATTTTTTGGGACTGCGATTAAAAAGTCGTGGATGAGTCTAATTTTGTGAAAAAATTTAAAAATTTCAATTATTATTAAGTGTAGTTTCCTGCATGATATCCTTTTTAACTACATACACTTATCTAAGCAGTTTTATCCTTTAAAATGGTATAGTTTTGCAGCGATGCCTGGACTTGTGAGATTGTTCAACAGACCCGCATGACGCTTAAATGTGGTGAATCCTGAGTTTTTCTACTGAGGACATAATAAACGATCAAATATCACTACAAACGGCAAAGATAGGAAACAGTTATAGATTTCGTACATCGTGATCAAGGACATATTATCCAGAGATAAAAAAAAATTTTTAAAGTAGGACAAATAGTTTTTATTAACACATTTGTTAGTTTCAAAATTAATAATAATGTTCGTTCGATAGAAATTTCTTTTCTCTATAAGAGGAAACAAAGAATTTTAAAAGTATTTGGTAATCGCTAAATTTGGCAAGTACCAAATGTGTTTAGAAAAGTAACTCTTAAAATTTTTCATAAAATTTTTCATTGTAATTGTATTTTAACGAGGTGATAAATTGTCAGAGTAAGAGATAAGATTTTTTTTCTGATATTATTTTACTGGACAATTGATTGAACCGCTACTCCCATACAAGGCATTCCTCAATTTAAAAACTTTTTAATAATTAGGTATGGGGGCTAAGAATCGCCAAAAAAAAAAATTAAAAAAAAAAAAAAAAAAAAAACAATGACGTCAATACTGATGACGTCGACATCAATGATCGAGTCGGCAATAGAACTCAATGTCCTTTGTATTAAAAATCTGCCGCTAAAAATGATTGAAGGCTACCGCGTCAAATTTCTCTAGCATTGTTTCGCGTGGTAAAGATGAACGTTTGGGTACATGGTTGATTAAAGTCTCAAGTCACGAGAGTCTGAGCGCTGATTCATCAACATTTAAACGGATCTATTTACCCCAGCAATTTTAGCACGAGCAAGTAGGCAATGTTGCTTCAGCTGCGCCTTCGTCATCTGCACGGATCACTGGTGCTCAATATCGTGACTGCCAATTCACTTAGTGAGTATCTGCCTGCGTTAATGCATGCGTTTATTTGTGAAGAGCAAAGTAATTAAACTCGCAATCGAACTGAAAGAGCACTCGTTTTTTCGTTTCCGTACAACAATACTGTTTCTCGGAACACAAGTACACTAACAATACTCGCAATTAGAAATAATTGACGTGCATGTACAACGGATGTAAATGATAATTCAAGACTTCTTCGACCAGATAACACTTTTTGCTCTAAGTAGGTCTGATGGTATACTTGGATTCATCGTACTTGCATACCAAATTATTGTTGTTAACAGTAGAAGAGACAGCAATCGATGGATGCTATCAAACATTGTGGCGAGTAAAAACTGGCTTGTTATTTGGCACGCTTGCTTGTATGAAGTAAAAACTACACACAATTTTCAATTGCTTTAACTCGTAAGTTCCCAAAGTAGCAAATGTTTGAGGAATTTTCGAAAAAATAAGCCTTTATCGAGTTTTGTACGAAAACCAGTTTTTCGTCTTTGCGAATGCACATTATACTGTATTGTACGTATACAACTTCCACCATTTATGTAAATATATTTTTTTATNTGCCGGAGAAAAGTACGGGGTCCTGAGGAATTATCGACACCCGACTCCGCAAGTCCTCCAGCGATATCGTTCCCGTATCAACTCCGTCAATCTCTATTGTACCTTCTAATGGAGCTAGTCTGAACATTGCCGAGATCAGCGATGATTTACCAGCTCCGGTCCTTCCCACGATTCCCACCTAACAACATAAAACCTGTGGATTACGTAACGTCTTCAAAAGCATATCGACTCCAATATACCTTTTCCGATGGGTTGATGTGGAAATCTAAGTCTTTGAGTACGGGTGGCTCATTGTCAGCGTATCTCATGAAGACATTCTTGAATTCGACGGCGCCATCATGGGGCCAGTCTTTAGGTGGTACGAAAAGTTGTACCGTCAAGGTTTTTTGGTTCTTTGTTTTTATTTTTTTTCCTTTGGTAGTATTGTCGGCATCCGGCAAATTCGTTTCCGGGGGTATCTGCGTGTATTCCAAGATTCTTTCGACAGACATCATTTGATTCGTTACCTCAGCACTTTGTCGCATTCCCCATTGTACTAGACGGGATAGAGCCAATATCTGGGTAAAAGCCAGACCTACCTCACCTCCGTTAAAGTCTATGAAGTTATAAAGGATATTAAACATTTCTCTGAATACATAAGCAGATAGTATTACGTGTATATACATTAAACATATCTAACTTACGGTCCCGAAAAATTAAGAACGCAAGCGTAATAAAAGTTATGAAGATAAATGTGAATAAATCCAAGGCAAAGGCGTAGGCGATGGTGCATACAGTATACATGTACCATGTAGAAGTATGAACGTCTTGAAATTTTTCGAATTCTGACTTTAAGACAATTTGGGCTTCATAAGCTCTAATTGTTGATATGCCACTTAAAGTGGCATTTAGATGAGTGAACACTGGTGAATGAGCTGGAAGTGATAGAAAAAAGTTTTTACACATTTCACGCCATCAATCTTTCAATATGACTTGGAGTATATGTTACACATATAATGGAGAACCCTTACTTATGCCCTCCAGACGTTTGATGTTTTTGCTAGTCTTGAGATATATCCTTTTTAAACAGTAGCTTATGAAACCAATAATAACTGCAGGAACCAAAAATATTGGATTAACTATACAGGTAAGCACAAGGGAACTGGTTATTACCAGTAAAACCTGAGTAGCATCCAGCATAGCTTTGGGTAACAATTCATCCATTACAGTCGTATCTTTTGAAAATCGATTCAGAATTCGCCCACTTGGATTCGTATCGAAGAAATGCATACTTGATCGAATAATTGCAGCAAACGCAGAATTATGCAAACGCTTGCTACTTCGTAGACAGAGTATGTAGTACAAAAATGAACGCGTCAGGCCAACCACGAAAATTGATAGGATCAAAAAAGTATAAAAGTAAATGTAATATATTGTGGGGTAGGATTTACTGTCAGCTGTTACGTCAAATGTTTTGTTTTCTCTAGGGCTGCTGATATTGCTTTCACGTGAGTTACTGAAAATTCGCAACTCTTCAGTGTTGACGCTACAATATACAATAAAGTTGTTAAGATTTATTTATTTTTCAGACAGTATAAAGATATAATAATTACTTGCTCACATTGCAGAAACAGTTAAATCGGTTAGACTCACGAAAATCTGGGTCAGAAGAAACAGTACAATCATGGTAACCATCATGCAAAAATTAGAACCCGAAAGAAAATACTGTGAAATTATATTTCCTTTTACGGCTCCTTTCGAAGTAGCTTCCATGACATCTGATAGATTTCTTGAATCATGATTTTTGTCAGCAACATTGACGTATTCACTTGCAGATACCTTAGATTAATTAATTTAATTGTTATGTCATTTTTGTGAAAGACAATATAAATATGAATTTATTTACTTCTGATCCAGTGTAAGATTAAAGTTGCCAATAGCTATCAAGAGTTAAACTTACTTAGCTATGACTAAAAAAAAAATTGTTTTACAAATGCCTAATATGAGATAGTGTACTAATGATTCTCTTAGTAATTCAATGTTACTCTTAAAAAAAGTTAACCCATAAGCAAAAGATATTCAAAAAAGTATTATCTTGAAACTATTTTTGCTAAATTGCTTTACATATAAAAAATAAAATTTCTTATACAATTATTGAAATAATAAGTCTGCAAGATATAGTGCGTCAATAACTATACTGGTTTATAAGTTGTACAGTTGGTAGCGTTACTTAAAATTAAATATAAAAACATAACTTACAGATTCACTATAATAATATTTACCTTACTTCTTGTAGAAGAAAATCGTCTTCTTAAATCAGATATTTTATTGGATTCGTCCTCATTGAAATTCTCCTCCAGATCAGTGGTAATCAGACTTCCATATTCAGGGTACGCCTTCAGTAGTTTATGATAATTCTTAAAATATTTTATTTTTCCTTCCTCCAGAAGAATAATACCATCCACGTCTTTTACGAATTGAAGCTGATGCGTTGCTAAAATTCGAGTTTTACCTCGCAGATATCGTCTTATACACTCATCGAACAAGTGTTTTCCCACGTGGGCGTCGACCTAAAAAATATTCAATATTTTTTGAAAAGTTTACATCATTAAACGCATCTATTGCTGATCAGTCTCATCATACCGCACTTAGGGGGTCATCCAGCAAGTAAATATCGGCTTGTCTGTAGATGGCTCTAGCTAAGTTCACTCTGGCTTTCTGTCCCCCAGACAACGAACTCCCCCTCTCGCCTACAATTGTATGATCACCTTCCGGAAACTGTGCAAAATCTTTGTACAGTGAGCAGGCCTTCACTACCCGTTGATACCTTTGTCTATCGAATTCTTGGCCAAAGAGGATGTTTTGACGCACACTCGAGCCAAAGACCCAAGCATCCTGACTGACGTAGCTCACCCTACCTTGGATCTTGATGTCTCCCTTGATAATATTGAGTTCGCCCAGAACAGAAGAAAGTAACGAACTCTTTCCCGAACCTACGACACCAATTACTGCGTACAGTTTACCCTCGTTCAGATGGAGATTTATGTTTTCCAAAGTATTGTCCGACGATTCAGGGTTCCACTTAGCTGTTACGTTTTCCATTGACACAGACCAGGTTTGTCGATTGTTTCCGATCGTGTTACTGTACTCATCAATATATGATTATACTTATCTGTCCACAACAAATCTCCATTTAAATAGTCATACAGATAGCATTTCCAGAATACTTACTCAATCTCTGGTACACTTCCGTACTTTCCATTGGCAGCGTTTTCCAGTACCACTTTGTTCTCCATGTCTTTGATAACCAGATTATGACTCTTTTCTGTATCAGTTGTGCCGATAATTTTCGTTACGTTTCCTGTTTTAAACTCTTCTAGAAGCATAAAGGACTGTATCCTGTTTACAGACACCCTGCACTCAGCTATTTCGGCAAAACCTCTGGCGAACATCAATGTCATCGAATTAGCTACTAAATCATAGAATGAGGCAAACACGAAAATTTTGTCAGCAGTCAGAGGCTCGCCGTAGTGAAACATTGAAACGAGGGTACAGTACAATGCTGCTCGTGTAGTGAACAAAAAAAATGTCATAAAAATCCCCCGGAGAAACGATGTTTTGCGCACAATCCTTAGCTCGAGTCTGCGAGCCAGTTCCACTAGGGTACAGAACGGCTTCTCCCAGGCGTACATTTTTATCACCTGCACGCCTGATACTATTTCGTTTATCAAACGGACACGCTCATCTGTTTTAATGGCAGTTTGTAGACGAAATTTGGAAGTCAATTTGCCAAAGCCCACTGTTAGAGAAAAAAATTTTTTTTTTGATTTATATTTTCTTTATTATATTTATACCCATCCATACTAGATATTTTTGTGTTTAATAGTATGTAGAAAATAGGTACTTTTAAACTTGTTTACAATTTTATGTTAGTACTTATTGTATAAACGCATAATTTTATCAGATGAATGTGTAATATACTTTATTATATTGTCTTACACTTTTTTGTAGTTGCTTACTGCCTCAAGATGGGGCAGTAGGCAACTAGGTTGAAGATGGACCTGATACATCACCGAATCATTATTCACAATATTTCGTAATACTAGTAGTTACAGAAAAAACTTAACGAAATATACTCTTATTTTTATTGAATTTTAACGTAGGGAGTAGAATAGAGCATTATCAATTATCAAAAGTAAACAATTTAATTTTACCTTGAATAAGAATGACAACCATCAACACGGACATACCGATCAAGGCTGGAATTTGCGCTTTTTGATACAGTATGTAAGCTATGATGAAGCTTAGAAGTGGTCCACTCCACAAATGGTGCAGGGTCAACATGACCATGTCGAATCGGTTGACATCATTAGCCATAAGATTCACAATTTTTCCAGGTGCAGTATCAGAAAGTGCCATTTTGCTTAATCGTAATGCCTAAACAGCAATATAATATTTCTCATTACTATTGTTATTAATATTAATATCATTATCATCATTATCATCATCATTATTATTATTATTATTATTGTAAGTGTTAATATCATTTTTATAAAAAAATGAAGACTTACCTTGTATCCTAAAATATGAGTCTTTATCTTACTAGTAGGCTAATTTTACCAACTCTTTTAAAATAAAATTGAATAAAAAAGTTTTAATGAAAAAGAGATCCCACCGCGGTAGTAATTGGCTAACTTTCAGTTTATTTATTAAACTGACAAGAACTATATTAAAAAGAGTATTGCAGATTTTAGACACCACAGTGGAAATAATTCCCAAGTGGAAATTATTTTATTGAATAAAAAGTTATCACTGATAATGAGAATTATTAAAGTTCAGATTAGAGACAAACAATAACATGTAATAAACAATAGTATTTTTTATTATCAGTTATTCCTTTTTTTTCGTTGTAAATGTCATTTTAGAAAGCATCAGAGAAAAAAACTGAATGGAAAAAACTTTTATTGTTAATAATCACTGTTCGATACTTGACTTGAAATCTATAAAAAAAACTAGTATTATAACATGTATTAAATAAAAATAAATAATAAAAAACAATCTTTGCAGGCACTTGTTGTAACGATTGATTGAACAAAAAAATATCAAGTAATAAGGATTAATAAGTTTCAATTATTTGTAATGGATAATTGTTAATAATAAGTTTTACCAGTTGTCTCAAATCTAGACTTTATAAATTGTTATTATTATTTTTTATTTTTAACTTATTATTTAAAATAGTTATACTTATCAATCAAATAAAATTATTTTCACTTGGGCT